CCACCGACCACCCATCCATGATCTCTGCTCCAGCCCAACCCTGTTGCCACAGCTCCCCTTCGGGGACTCCCAGTCTGAGCCCCCTCACAGTGAGTCTAGCTTGGGGCAGAACGGCACTGCTTCCAATGCAACCAGCCTGGCCACATCAAAATTAACTGTCCTCAAAACCGGGGCAAACCACAGTGGGTCACCCCCGTAGACCCTGCCAACCCATGAGCAGCAGCTCTCTGCAACCACGATGAACCCACAATGCAGACAAAAAAGTCTGGACCATCCTACATGAGCCAAACCCCATTCAGGCTGACCGTGATAACCAGGACCACCACAGACAGGCAGTGCAGCTGAACGGGCGCAAGGTCCAGGGACTCTGAGACACCAGAGCCACTCCAACTCTGGTGCGTCCACAGCTTTTCCCGGAGGAAGAAAAGACTATATATCCACTGCCCATGTCCACCTGGATTGGGGCGCGTGAGCCCAGAAAATTGAAGTGGCCCCGTGGACCGACTACCCACCAAGGTACTTCTCGGCAACGACCTGGGACACCTTGCCTCTGCTTTTGTCTCTGTTCAGATCCTGGAAGAAGTCTACCTGGTGATGACCCGACACCAAGCCCGCACCACCCCAGTCGGCACAGGTAAGCACATGTGCCCCTTTCCACCCCCCAAGGTCCAGTAGGAAGCCCCATCAGTGAGCCTCTCGAGTCAATCTGCCTCCCTGTGGGTGGCCCGCAATTCCTACACCCGGGCGGCCCGTACCCACTACCTAACCCCAGAGCCTGAGATCCTACCCCGACCCGTTCCCCTTACCCTGGGAAAGCTGTGTGCCCAAATAAAGATTGTCAAACTTTGTACCCTGGAACCGTGTGTCATCCAGTTACTGGGGGGGAAATGGGTCTTGTAATACCCAGGTCCCGCTACATAGAGGAATCTTAATATTCTCTTCCCGATTAAAGGTTACAAATAAATACACGGAAAGAACATGCTGCATTGATTAATACACTATAGAATTTATAATATGTAGATACGATTGGTAAGTCAGATGAAATTTAACATAGAGAAATGCAAAGTTATGCACTTCGGGGTTAAGAATGCACCAGCAACTTATACACTAAATGGTAGTGAATTAGGGATAACCACACACGAGAAGGATTTGGGAATTGTTATAGACAACAAATTAGGCAGCAATATGCAATGTCAATCTGCAGTTGCTAAGGCCAGTAAGATTTTGTCATGTATAAATAGGGGCATAAATTCTCGGGATGAAAATATTATTTTGTCTCTTTATAAATCGCTGGTAAGACCACACCTTGAATTTTGGGCGCCTGTTCTAAAGAAGGATATCATGGCACTGGAGAGGGTCCAGAGACGAGCTACCAAATTGATAAAAGGAATGGAGCATTTTAGTTATGAAGAAAGGTTTAAAAAATTTAATCTGTTTAGTTTGGAAAAACGGCGCCTGAGAGGGGATATGATAACTTTATACAAATATATTCGGGGCCAGTACAAACCTTTATCTTGAAATCTATTCATAAACAGGGCTATACATAGGACACGAGGTCACACATTTAGGCTGGAAGAAAGGAGATTTCATCTAAGGCAAAGAAAAGGTTTTTTACAGTAAGAACAATAAGGATGTGGAATTCTCTGCCTGAAGAGGTGGTTTTGTCAGAGTCCATACAGATGCTT